GCGAACGATCGTAGGAATATGTGCTGCGTCACATTAATCCTTCGCGCTATAACAACGAGCGAGACTCGTGACGAACACTTCATGCATAATCTATCAAATATGAATGTTATTGATTTCTCCTAAATTGAAACAAAATTTGATTGAAATCTAGTATTCAAAGTAAATGGAGACATACAAGAAAGAACAATTGTCTGGTTCTGTTAAGAAGTTTTTTAATAGGTCAAAAGCCGAATTAGAGCTCTTATCATTCCTACAATGTTAACACAAGATTTACAGAAAGATTACAAAAAACGGCTGTTTTATATTAGTTTATAAAAGTAACAATAAGTCGTTTATTCTGACTTTTAACAAGTGTTATTGTAGCATTTACCGTAAGTAACATACAAATTGAATAAATAACCCATAAATGTATCTTTAAAGTCTTTGAACCAATTACATAGTTGTTTTTGGTGAGTATACTCGTCGGTATATAAAATGTTGCCATTTGTTCGTAATGTATATAAGTGTTGTGTAATATAATATGAAGAGAATTAAACATATACAGTATAATTATAGTAATTGACACACTTTTCAAAGAGATTGTAACAGCTAACTGATTAATTAATGACACCGAAACTAGAGAGTTAAAATTTACAATCGTAACTTCTAATCATAGTTTAACTTTTTTGCGTTGTAATGATTCTAGTAACAATCAGATGTTTCTAATATATCGCAATAAAAACCGCTACCTATTTAAAAAGGCACTCATCGGGTTAAGAACGAATAAATCATAGTGCAAAGGGTTAATACGAGGGTAAATTTGGAATAATAGCTGTCCGTTCTGTGTCTGTTTCATATTTAAGTTCATCTGTGATGTAATAGAACACTTCAGAATATTTATGCCGTTCATCTGAAATTACAGACAGCGCGTCTCGAACAAAATGTTTCGAATTTGTCTTGGTAAACCGTTTAAAACGTCGTTACAATCGAACCTCAATTTAACGAATCCCTAAGCAATAGCTCGAGGGTGGACTTGCCAACAGTACCTTTAAGAAAGGAACAAAGAACGATCATCGAGCGGACAGGTTACTAACAAAGAATTTCGCCCGTGATTAATGACACCGGCGGTATCGCACTCGCAGTTAAGTAATTTCTGTTCCACGTCAGAAAGTCAAGTACCAGGATCCATTGCTAACAATAAGTGTTGGTAACTGAATTCATTTAGCATGTCTCTGGTACGTTAGCTCTCTTCCACGAGCAGTTACTTGTCGTGGTAATGCTCGTATTCCGCCGGCATTATCATTAGGATTCAACCGCGTAATCATCGTTAACGTTTGCAAATAAGCTCGGCGAGTTTGGAATATTTATTCATTGCCTCATCGCGGGGGAATCTCTCGTCTACGGCTCGCCCTTAAAAGGATTCCCTGCAAATGACACTTGATCGTGCTTTCGACACTGAAGGCGCGCGCGCGCGCGCGCACACAGTTCGCATACGACGCGATTATAAATCAGATTCTTCGCGCGCGTACCAACACGATGTCGCAAATGGCCTGGCTCTCCTCTTTTCTGTTAGCTCGCTCCTGGTGGGAACTTTATTGCCCGCTCGTTCTGCGCGATGAAACTGTTTGCGCGAAATAGTTTTGCGGACAGACCGTGTGAGACCGCTTTCGAAAATTATTCTTCATTCGAATCGCGTCGAAACTGCGGTGCCATTGTTGAAGAAATTGATTGTATGTGTATATCAAAGTGGAATCGATTGATTGCAAACGAAGTACAATGAATCGAGGAATAACAAAGAACATTCTTCTCTAATACAGATAAAATAATGTCCGCAGTATAAAAATATTTCGAAAGGTTCAGTCATTGATGAGGTGAACGCGCCTATTATGAAACAAAAATTATGAAACAAAAAACAAAAATAGATAGAGCACATGAAAATGGATGTAAAAATTCTAGCTATATTTTTGAACATTGTTCTTTATAAAATCATTCGTGCAAATACTGTTGTGTAATAATCAGCTATAAAATAAAATGATTACTCGAATATGGATGCTCGTACTTTACTATTCTATTCGTATTATATATATATGTGTATATATTTCTCTCTATTTCTCTCTCATAGGAGTAAGATATATATATATATATGAGAGAGAAATGAATATTACACAAAGTTCATTACGTTACCTAATACGTTCCATAACAGGTACTACTTTCGCGTTAATGTGTACAGTAAGTTAATTTTTTAGAAGCTCGAGCACGATTCCTTCAGAAATATCGAAGATTGAGAAACCACGCATGAAATTCATGTCAGATCTTGCGAAATCATTTGTGCCGGAACGCGGTACACAAATTGGTAATTATTTAACGTACTCGATCATTCTTCCCCGTTGTCGAAGATGCATTGTGCAGCTTCCAGCGGAGACATTGATGGCATTATTATAATATGGTGCGCGGAGGATGAATAATGGCCCCCCAGACTATAAAATGTAAATTCAAGGCATTACAAGCTGATCCGTTTACTGGTGCCACGGAAAGACAAGCTATCCGGTTACGTATTTATCCACTGTTCAATAACGCCCCCGTGGAACCCTCAGAAACATCGATGCGACGACTGCGCCGAAGGAAAGCAACAAAGAAACCTGATCGTGCAATTTCATCGGGCTTTGAAATACGAGTAGAGTACGTACGTAGGCAATGTTGCGCCGCGCCAGTTAACGCTGTTATTAAAAGTACGTTACAAGACGAGGGTGGTTTCCGGTTTCGCATTGTGGCTCCTAGACCGGTCGTTTTCATAGATTTCCGCGGCGCAATAAGCAGGATTCCGAACATAATTTACGCCCATGGAAATAATGCTCCACGTCACCCGGTTTCCACGGGTCCGTCGGTGAAATGCTAATACAGCCCGGCCGATACTTTCGTATTAGAATTGCGAACCGGTTAAATTATAGATCTTCTGCGAGCACCCGACCCTGCATTCCCGCTTCACCGACTTACCCGGATTAAAGGCTGTCTTAATTATCAGCGGGCTGGAAGGCTTCGTGCGTGCCGCAAAATCTTTCAGAGCTGCGGAATTGTAAAAGCGAAATTAAAGGGAATTGAAAATCTAATTGGACCGTTTCTGGTTCCAAGAATAAGCCCCGAGTTATATATAAATCGCTCGTGGCGGCTGCATTCTGCGCGGGGCAATTCGAAATTTGCCCGGGGAGATTATTTTATTTCGATCTTTATTCGATGCGTTAACCATACGAGGTCTATAGAGACCTCGTTCATCATATACTTACACATGACAATCATCTCCAAGGCCGGCTATCAAGCGGACCACAAGAAAATAATTAACAAATTCGAACGTAAAATTTGCTTCCATAAAGCGTGCTCTAAAACGTAAAAAAAAAGTTTTAATTAGTCTACTAAAAGGAGCAATAAGAAATCTAGTACTACAAGTGATATTACAGGCCAGCTACTGCGAAGGACGTCTTTTCTTAATCCCTCGCGCTACGTCATCTTTCACAGTCCGTTGATCAAGCAATTTCTTAGTAATTTCCCTCATAGAACGAGACAATTTTTGTTTCCTACATGTCTTCGTCCGCGTTCATTCCTACATTACGATGACAAACGAATCAAATTTAATTTCGCTTCGCAAGAAATTAGTGATATTCATATTTAGCAGATTATGTATGAAGCCATTATGCGCCATCGCACGATCGCGTCGTTTCGCGATTTTACGATGAGAAGAAATAAAGTTTTGATCAGGAACGACGAAAGAAATTCGAGAAATATAATACTTGTCGAGACAGCTTCACCGATTCGATTTGTCGAACGGTGGAGTATAATTGTCGAATCTTGTCCCCGATGAAAACGTTTCGATAGGGCTCGATTTGAGATTCGGAGGACAACCGTTGGTTCTGCAACAAGCCGATTATAAACAACATTAGCTAATTCGTTCGGTTTTGGGCGACCCTTTGTGCGCGCGCGAATTTTCTGGCAGTTCGCGGCGCAGCTTCTCTTTGTCGCCGGCAGTGCCGGTTAAATCAAACGTGATTTAACGGCCAATCAATTAGCTTGTCGAATTTACCGCAACGATACGTCGTAGGTTATCGACATCGCTCGGGGCTGTTAGCTACCTATGAGGGTGGAATTACTGGATCCCCATTACTTCGTGGCGATGCATCATACCCCGTTGACTTAGGTACACCGACGTAAGCAGATTTTATGCGAATGTCGCGGCACGCGTTTCGATTGCACTTTCCGAACGGAGAAACTGGATCGCAGCGCCAGGGATCTTTTCCGAATGCACTGTGCATGCACCGAATCGATCCGCCGATGCAAATGAGGCAGGACACCTGCTGAAAATAGCTGACAATTAATGGAATCGTTCCTTTAAATCATTCAGTCGTTTTTCAGCCAAGAAAGTGTTCTTACAAGCTATGACTTTTAGGAATTTTTTCTGGAAAAATTAGTGAACGCCATTTTTCAAACGAGTACATTGTTTCAAAGTGCATGGGTACAGCTGGTGAAATTAGCTGACAATTAATTCAGTCGCGATCTTAAAATATTTTGAAATTAAAATAAGGGGATTATTAGGGGATATTTGAATCTTAAAATTATGGGATGTCTTCATTTTGAATTCGTAACTTGTTTAATACCAAATCTACCCAGCTCTAACAATGTCTGACGTCTGTTTAACTCATTTTGCATTTCATTGTTATCTTCTCAGTAATTTTTAATAAATAAGACTGGAAATATTTATAAACTAATAATACGTGTATACCCTACGCATACGACCACTAATATACTATGACATCTAACAAAATTTTCTACAGAAATTAATGAACTGTTTTTTTAATGAGTACGGAATTTTTTGCAGAAAAGACTGTAACAAAATCCGAGTAACAGCTCGAAGGTTATTTAAGAATTCATAAAAATGCGACTTTTCTTTTTTCACGAATTAAAATGCGCGTATGTTTTATAATTAATTCCTGTTTCTCCAGCGGATGTAATTGAGTGAAAATATTTGGTTGCAGGCATAGAAACAAAATTTGCAGGCTCCAGTTGCAACGATCTTGTAACTTCCGACGGTGCAGGCTCGACGATAATTAGCGGCCACTTTGATCAGAGAATCAGATTCTGGGACACCAGAGTAGAATCCAGTTCAAACGATATTCTGCTCGAGGGGAAGGTCACGTCGCTGGATTTATCGCGTGGTAAATGTTACATGCACACTAGCGTACCGCGAATTTTCTGTGCAATTTATGAAAACCGACACTACAGTCCACGTCAATCCAATAATTCGGCAAAAATGTGTATTCCTTTGTAACGCTTTTTTCCAATCGCTCCAAAATAGACAAAAGCGCAACTGCAGTACATAAAATCCCGTAACGCGTACCTATGAGAAATCGGAGGTTCCAATATATGCAATCGTAATTCCAAATTAATTTTCACTACACGTAAATAATAACGGGTCAAATTCGAATTTAATGGCAGCGTTATTGCAACAAAGCGTACGTATATATCGCTCGGATATCATTCGATCTCTGCAGGAAACCTAATAAAATACGCGATGTTTTATCGAATTGTCTGTGTAAGTTATGAAATCCGGCACTGCATTCCCATCAAAATCAATCCGAGAAAAATATTCCAATCTCCCACGATTTATTTAGCCAAGAACGTTGTTCAAAAGTGAGAAATTTCTATGATAAATACCGGTGAAGAATTACAAAATTTTAATACGTGTAAAATCGGAATCGAAAATTCGTTTTTAGAAACGCACAGAGACGATATAATAGCGAGCGAAATTTATGGAATCACTATTGCAACTAATCGCCGATACGCCAAAGCGTGCGCACGTTCTACTCGAATTTCATTGGATTGGCAAAGGAAACCTGACAAAATACGCGTTGCGGTAGCGTGATTCGTTAATCCAGATAACGCGAGGATAGATCGTCTGCGGAAAACGACACCGGTTGAAAAGTTGCGCGCGATTACATCGCGCACCCCTCTAATGCTTTCCCTTTATCATTGGCAGTAATACATTATGTATACTTCCATTAAAGTGTAATATTCCATTCCCCGGGATACGTGTCCGCTGGATTCCGGAATACCTTTACCGAACGCCTCCTCATAAGATTTATACGCCCCGAAAAGGAATTACTTACTTAGCGGATTCGTCCCGGCGCATTTCAAGCCACCGAGTCCGCCTTTTTTCCCGGCGTCCGGCTCCGCCGGCTGTTCAAATAACGGAAATTCGTGGAAACTTCCCTCGCAACGTGATCGGAATATCATCAGGACGAGCGTAATCAACGATTGCTTATTATCTTTATGCGGGCACGTACGCGAGTTGTATGGCTAACCGTATTAGCGCGACCAATTTAAGTTGAATGTCGGCGACACGAGAATTCAAGTGGCAACGCCTGCTTGTTTTCAGATACAAATTACCTTTTGAGCTGCGTTAGGGACGACACGCTGAAACTTATTGACCTACGAATGAAGAAGATCATTGGATCGTTTAGGTGAGTATAATTATCATCGAGAACTAATCCGTTGGAACGAGTGCCAGCGTGTTTGAATGAGCTCCTTTCAGGATTTTGTGGCTGAAACGCGCTATTTCTAATGCAATTAGCTATTCCAGCAGGAATTTATGTCTTACAATTCCTGGCGGAACGTAATCGAACACCTTTTAAACGCAATAACTTTTTTCAAACTGAACTAAATGATTTTTTTTGGAGGTGTTAAACGAACTAGTTTACTTTACAATGGCTATAATGCTTTACTTAATTTTACTATTACTTGAAATGACAGAACAAAAAAAAGCTCCCATCTTTTAACTTTTTTATCTGAACCTGGAATGCTTACTGAAAATTTCATTAAAATCGGTTGACGCATAGTCAAGCTGCGGCCACTGAAAGATATAAAAATTACCTGTTTTTGGTTGGAATCCGTAAAAAACTGCGATTTTCATGATATTTATTGTTTTTAAGTCGTAACAACGTCAACCGGTTCCGATGAAAATTTTAATATGCACATAAGTTATGAAGATCTACAAAATACATTTTTTAAATTTTTCTTCCAGGTTCAGATAAAAAAAGTTAAAAAACGAGAGTTTCTTTTCTTTTGTCATTGCAAAGAAAAAGAAAACTGTTTCAGTAATTGTACAGTCAATTGTACAGTCAAATCAAGTCATTTGGACCAGTTTTAAAATGGCTATTACGATTTATAAAGTGTTCGAATACTTTTTGTCAAAGGTAGTGTCAGGTGTAAAATTTAGTCATTGTTTCTTGCAAAGTTGATTTTTATTGTCATGCAAAATTACGTGATTAAGAAAATATCTTAACACTTTAACTAGTAGATTTCTTTTTTAGTAAAAGAAGGTTTAATCATTTTCACTTAGATAATAATTCCGAAAGAAATGATTTAACATTGTTATTTTGTCTAACTTGTCGTTTCATATTTATGCAAATAAATTTTTTAGATAATCCTTGACATTTGACCGTTAATTTCGAAAAGGCAATTTGAAATTACTTAATCAATGAAATAGCAATAACGGATTCATTGACTAATAAAAATTATTTTATTTTGGCTCAGTCTGAAAATTTATGAAAAGACGATTCCATATTCAGAAAGATTTTGATTGCAGTAATCTAGCTTAGAGCTATGAATAAGTTGCGTAGACCCGCATCCTCCTTTGCAAAATGTTAATTCGTCCGAAGAGAATTTAAATTTATTCAGCAGATGTTACTGAAACTGTTAAAATGTTGCTCGATTTGAACCAAAGCGGAAACACGATGCGCGTTTATTTCAAAGCAAAAGCTTCATAGCTCGAAGCTATATAGTCGGATCCTGTGTAGGTGTGATGCGATGACTAACCCAACCGCATATAAGTAACATCGAGCTGTAATAGTTGCAACAAATGCGATGCCTGCGTGTTACCAGCGTTCTGTGTGCCGGGATGTTGACTGATTGATTGTTACCTGTCGCCTGTGTGTCTAGATGATGACTGTTTGATGGCTACGTGTGTTCTTGTTGACTGTGTGTATGAATTGCTTGGATGTGCCTATGTTCGTGTTTCTATTGATGTTTGTAGGATAGTGGTAGTAGTGCAATCGTGGGAGTGGTCGCGTATATGAACAGGGAACACTTGGACAGAAATTTCGTGTACATAATTCCGGAATTATACGCTGTCAACATTTTAGTATCAAATACATAGTTTGCGATACCTTGTACAATCACAAATATGTCAAAGCGCAGAAATCAACCAAATTTCCTACGGTTCCATTTCATTTCTAACTCCAACATTGATCCCCTTTCTTTTACAGATAAAAAAGTTTGTAAGAAATTTAAAAAAAATATTTCCAATTTCTCTGTCCACACGATAGAACTAAAAAATGTCACTGCTGGTATGTTTAATTCATCTGATTCATCTATTTCATTTTCATCTGAACAATGTGCTTTCTGTACATTTCATGTTTCTTCTTTGTGTGAAAACAAACAATGTTTTTAAAGAAGTGGCAAGCATTGAAATAGTTTTTCAAAAACCTTTTCAACATCCGTTTAATCAACAGGACTAAGAAATGTCACTGCTAGTATTTTTTAAATTAATTCCTTCGTTACGTATGTTTTATTTTTACCTGTAAAATGTACTTTCTGTATATTTCATGGTTTTTTGGAACAATTTAACAGGAGCTAAAAACTATAAACTTTAATTTTGAAGTTTTACCATTTTTTGTTCACAAAAATTTTGACTTTTCCCTCGTTCCAGCCATAATTATATCCTTCCTAATGAACATGAATAGTTTATCACCTATTTTTCCGATTAACGGAACAGTTGGAGTCAACCATGGAGATACTTTTTTTCCAATGGAACTTATTTCAATGTCCTGTAGCTTATACATTTGACATTATTTTTACTTGGAAGAAGTACTGTATACACTGTAATTATAAGTAAATGTACGTATGAAAGTTTAATTATAAAACAGTCTACGGTTTGTATTAAGAAAAGATCAGAAAGGAAGCTTAAAAAAACGCATGTCTAAACCGGAATACCTCCTTAAATCGTCGAAGCTATCAGCGGAGGAGATTTCATTTCCCTTAAATTTGCCCATAAAAGTGGAAGTTTGCATAAAGTTCCGCAGGGTAGTCATAAATAAGGTCTCGAAGACAAGATTCGATCACACATGATGCGCAGCTGTCTGAGAACCCCAGTTTATGATGTCTCGAGGTTGTATTAGCGTACCGGAGGTGCGATGGTCGTGGCAACCCTAGATTACCTGCGCTGATTCTCGACAATTTTCATTCCCCAGTTCGAAGCACAGGCATGATTCTCTACGATTTCTCAAGCCTTCCACAAATCTAATTTTATCGCAAATCGGCGTATCAAAGAAATTTTCTGTCTCCTGTTATCTTTGACAACACTCTTGCAGATCAAATCTATTTCGAAATTTGCTTGTACGAACGTACAGCTTTGGCGAACATTTTGACGGATTGCGCAAATCTTAAAGGTCTAGACACTTAAGTTAAAATTGGACGATCGAGTACTCTTTGAAAAATAATTATGACTCGATTTTTTGTGTTCTTTTTTTTCAGTGCCGATGGTTTCAAAGTCGGTTTCGATTGGACACGAGCAACTTTCAGCCCTGATGGTCAATATATTTCTGTCGGCTCTTCGGACGGATCCGTTTTCATTTGGTCCGTCGTTACAAATATGATCGAGACCGTGTTGAAAAATCATTCGTAAGTAACTTCTCTGCGTCATCGATCAACGGTGAACATTTATGTAACTGGTGCATGATGTTTATTCGAGCAGGTTTCGTGTGTTACGCATGCTAGATAACAGAGAATGATTTATGTAACAATGAACATCGTGCTTTATATTTTGCATCATAATTGTAGCAATAATTTCCTCTCTTTTTTTTCGCACAGTTGAATATCGATGTTGCATACGACGCGCTCTACCGATAAAATGCAAAGCATATAGAAAATATTCTTCGCGCGCGAATAAATAACCGTCAAACTTTTCGAGCATTATGAAAATGATTACCATTACATATCTTGTACAGTATTTCTATAAATTGAAAAGGTACTTGTTCTATGTTTCACGGGATTGCCGATAGTACCGGCATCACTTTTATCAATATTCGATGTCGCAAATTTTGCCAAACAATTTTATTCCCACGATACATTGGGCCCCGCTGTAAAAATTTAACACTGTGTATTTTCGAGGCCAAATATCACTTTTTGCGCCGCGAGCAACGGAAATCGTAATCTTTGTTTTGACGTCAAATAGATACCGATTGGAATGTGCAATAACGATATTAAACCCTTGGCTGTTATAAAATCCATGCATGCTAAAAAACCTGTTAAAGTTTATTTGACATTTTATGGCTTGTGTTACCAATAACGGTGAATCTTATTAAAATATGAAACTTCGATCTTGATATCGAGGCAGCCATCTCCGTATAAAATCTTATACTACCGAAATAAGTGCTGTAGACGCGATAAAATTTCCTAAAACATCTTCAGGAATTATTATATAAATTGCGAGATAAATTTCTGCGACGCGTCCAACATTTTCATACTTCGAAATTCGCACGTCAACGACTCCCAATTTTTCTGAAAACTCTTGAATTACCGGATTGAAATATTTTTCTGAAAAATGCATCTGTGGAATCTATCCGAATTACTAGTTCGATTTTGATTAATAGCGGCGCGTGAACAAATAGATCGCGTATTTGCTGAAGATAATTTCCTCCGTAAACGAAGCAGCCAAACGTAAATCACCGCGGGGCAACAATGTCGAACTCGTTGATCTCCTTTGCAAGTGGTCAGCTTGATATTGGTTTCGTTTAATGGGGCCCTTTATGCGAGTAATCCCTTATATATCTCATTCTCTGCTAATTAATTCCACCTGTTTTCTAATCCTCCGACTGGGAAACGTTCACGTGGCAACGTAAACACTTCGCAGACTTCCTTGCCGAGTTCGAGAGCAACGTGAACCAAGCCCGTGCGTTTATTTAAAGGGATTATAAAGAATCCCGCGTCTATTTCACGAGAATCCAATAGATTGTTATCGGTAATAAATTCCGTTACGCAATTTACTACAAAATTGCCAGCGATCGAGCTCGCCGGACGGGTCTTTAAATTATAGAAATTTTTACAACGTGCCCGCGACTCCGCAGCACATGTTGGACCTAAAGGCCGGTGTGTTGCGATCAAATGAAAGGGTATTAAAAGCGCGTTAACATGAAATTAAAAGTCATTCTAAGGCGATCGCTCAATCGCCTGTTATTAAAGCACGCAGCATCCTGTCAGCTGCCTCTAATTTTCTCGCGAATTTTTCCGCCGCGATAAAGACCGATGTTTTCTCGTGTCGGATGCTCGCCGGACCTCGCTCGCAATTCCGGCAGCCGTCTTCGAGTGCTTCGCGTAGCCTGCCGAAGCGAGGACTTCGCCGGAGTGTCCTTTGCTCCGGCGATCATGGTGGCACACATGCGCCGATGGTGTCCTGCGTTTTCGAGCAAGACGAAAATGTCCGGAAAGATATTTCGGCGGTGACCCGATTTCTTCGTCCAAGTCACGGCCCGTATATTTGCGGGCACACGCGACCGTTCCACGTGAACCGTACACACATAATATTTTCATACACTCGCATTATGCATATACGATGCATCGCGATATCGAAAGTTTATACGGTAACCCGGTTGCCTCCTTCGCCCGGCAGATCCCGTTCCACCGACTGAGATTGCTATGGCACGTGGAAGAAATGTCCCTCGCTTAACGATTTATCTAACTCAAAACTTGTTTGCCACTGGACTGCGGGTTTCATGCATTTCCGACGAATATTAATTGTTGATGATCGGACCACCGGCTTTTCTGCATTTACGATTGTACAAGAACTTAAAGATACTATTATGTTCTTCGCAACTTGTTAACGTTAGTACACGAAAAACCAACTCTTCGTGCAATATTTATTTTTTACGATTAATTCTAAGAATTTTCATTTTGCACGAGGATCCGCGGTCTTGTGACGAATATTAACCCCTTACCGTACTTTGACGAGTAAGGTAGATTTTCAGTAATAGTTTATTAATTACGGACGTCATACTGTTCTTTAAAATTGGAACAAAATTCTAGTAATTAATATTTAAGCATTCACGTAAATTTGGGCACAGGATAAGCATCAATTGTCTTTCTCTTCTAAAAAGTTATTACGATCGAAGAAATTTGTTAGTAGAATTGTCAAGATGAGAAATATATATACTTGTAATGTTTTTATTGTTTTGCATTTTATCCACTCACTTTTCTTATAAGTACCTAAAATCGGTCGTCTACTCTTCAGTATCGCTAGATCTAAATTTGTTGGCATCTGTAGGGTACGAGAGGATACCGAGGGTAATTGTTAGAATCAGACAGAATCAATTTTTCCAAGACAATTGTAAAGAACAGGTGGTAATATTTCTACTTTTAACGAGATTAATTAATCGTATATACAAGGTGTCTCTGAAGAGTATGTACAAGCGGTACCAGCTGATTGCTCATAAAAGAACATAAAAAAAGATATAGAATACCTTGAATATTCAAACATGAATTTTTTATTGTATTTTGTCATTCCAAAATTTTAAAAAAGCATTCAAATTATGGTCTAGTAAACCCTTTATCATCTAAAAAAAAAATTCGAGTCGTTTAGTCCGGTTCCAAAAAAGTTATTGCGTTTTAAAAGCTGCCCGATCATTAATGGGACTCTGTATCACTTTTCAAATGATAAAGGGACTCTTTTTAAATTATGATATTACTTTGAATGACAAAACAATAAAAAACTCATGATCGAAAACTCAAACTCGATTTTTTCGGAAACTAAATCTCAAACAAAAGGAACTATTTTATATTTCTTTTACGTTTTTTATGAGGAATCACCTGGTGCCTGATTGTACATACTTTTCAGACACACCCTGTATTATAACGATATTCTTAAATTCTTCTGAAATCTTTACAATTTTCCTAATTTTAACTTGTATACTTTTACTTCATTTCCGTGTTACAAGACTTAAGACGACATTTTCGTCTTTAACTTCTCGGATCTTCCTCGTTGCTCCTGTCCCTTTGAAGTCTAGCTTCCGGTAATAATGTTAAACTACGTCAGCTTCTAAATTTTAAATTTCTTTTACGTAGAAATACTCATTTTGCGATTTTTTTCATGAATAATGAAACACTCTGTACAGTGATATTTACATTTTAGACCTATACATACATTCATGCTAGACTTGAAAAAGAATTCACACTTCTTCTGAAGATTCTCAATTTTAAAATAGCATAAGACTTATATATTGAATTTATAGTTTGAAACGTGGAGAAAATGTCAACTAAATGATATCTAACGACCTTGAAATTCAAGGTCAGGGTTAGGTTGAAATCCTAGGTCGTTTCAAGATCATAGTAAGCCAAGTCGTTAAACTCGTCCTCCCATTAACTGCAACACTATAAACTCGAAAATACGTGGTACTATCTAGAAAGGTATCCATGACCTCCAAATGATCTTGAATAAGTATCGCCCATCTTTTGTCTTGAGCACTTTCAAACAAATCTTAATTAAGTTGATTTCAGTATCTATAATTTCATTATATTCGATTGGCAAGAAAGTAATTTTGGTTTGCACCAATAGATAACGTTATGTTTGTATTGTCATACCTCTGTTAAGGTTATAATATTTTTTGTTTTCAGATTTGGTAGTTGACACTTTTAGGTTACAATAGAAACAAATTCCGTGCAGTTTTGTTTGCAACTGTTAGTTTGCTGTCAATTTTAACATAGAGTGTAAAAATAAACATTTTCGACACATCAGTTAACTCAGAGTCGAGCTACAGACATTGAAAGATTATAAAAACTGCAGATTTTTCCATTTTTTAGGAAAAATCATGATAAAACTGCGATTTTTGTCATCTTTAATTTGTTATAACTCATAACAACGTCATCTGATTTCGAAAAAAATTTTAGCATACATATAAGTTACCGAAATCTATGAGATGCATTTTTTAAATTTCTGTTATAGGCTCAAATAAAAAAGTTAAAAAACAAGAGTTTTTATCTTTTTCTTGTCATTCTAAGTAATAGCAAAATTCAAGAAAATCATTTATCATCGTCTAGTAGATTAGACCCGCTATCGTCTAAAAAAGAAAATTGAAGTCACTTAGACCAGTTTTTAAAAAGTTATTGCGTTTTAAATGGTGTACGAACACTTTTGTGAGCCACTGTATATCATCTTCGTCATCATTATATCAGCATTATATTCATCTATAATAAGTAGACTGCGGATCTTTATACAAAATCCAAATAATCTGCATCAATCGTAAAAAAAACAGGGATTAAATAAAACTGTATTTTTCCTTCTACTAGCTTTAATAAATTAAAAGTAGCGTGGCGACATCCTTCGATTCCTCCAATGTCTTTCCTGCACTTGCCCATTTTTGCCATAAATGCATAAAATCCGCAGTCTGATAACAAGCTTAAGAACATCGTATTATAGCGCGGTTTTCAAAGGTGCGCGCGTACTTTTGTAGTCGAGTTGATACAATTCGAACACCATCCGCGTAAGTTCTCATAAACACGAATGTCCGACCCTGCAGCAATTTTTATAATATCAGTTCAAATTCTATCATCAATCAGATCAATTCATCTCTGCTTCTCATCCGAGCAGAATGAGAAGATATTCGGTTGACTCGGTTTGCTTACACTTTACA